GAATTTTCTGAGTGCGTCTCGGTGCTGTAGGGGACCTGATCAGATCATCGGATTTGTTGGTCATCACTGGCATATGGGTTACCATGGAAGTAAAATATTTATCTTTTTTGGCTACCAACTAAAAAACTTAAGTGATCATTTAACTTTTGGATTTTCCTAAAAATGGCAAACATTTCCAGTCTCTTTCCCTTTCCGCGCGTATTAGGTGATGTTACTGTTAGACTGCCCCAACGGTTATTATTATACACACAGTAGTTCTTGATGAAGGATTTATGTGAATAAAACAATATTTTAAAATAAAATCGTATTTCACTTATTATTTCTGTGTTTTTTCATCAACTTCCTCCTTCCCATTAAATTGCCCCTATCCATGGTTAAATGACATGAGCGGCGTGGGCTGTACCGTGACGTCACGGAGTAAGAACTGACTGAGAGTATGCCATCAAGCCCCACGAGCAAGAGACTTTAAATATCAGTTAACCGAACTTCGCGTTACGGGAAACATAGAATTATTGTTTCGTTTAACGTTGTATATTTCCCGTAATTCGAAGTTTGGTTGATGATACAAATTCGAGTTACTAAATGTGAACGAACCTTACGAACGTTAACTCTCAGGGTTGGTTGTCCGAGGTTAAACTGTTAATTAAAGTTGAGTTACTAAATGTGGACGTTAAACAAAAATATAGGTTGCAGAGGGACTGTGGTTGCATGTAACTCGAAGTTCTGTTAACTGTTAATTGAACATCAAGTTATAATTTGGGCGTGATTTGTGAAATATGGGCGTGGTCATTTTTATAACTCGATGTCCGTAACTAAAACAATTGGGAATCTCTAGTTATCGACATGACAGCTCATGGGGCTAATCTCTAGTTATCGACATGACAGCTCATGGGGCTAATCTCTAGTTATCGACATGACAGCTCATGGGGCTAATCTCTAGTTATCGACATGACAGCTCATGGGGCTAATCTCTATTATCGACATGACAGCTCATGGGGCTAATCTCTAGTTATCGACATGACAGCTCATGGGGCTAATCTCTAGTTATCGACATGACAGCTCATGGGGCTAATCTCTAGTTATCGACATGACAGCTCATGGGGCTAATCTCTAGTTATCGACATGACAGCTCATGGGGCTAATCTCTAGTTATCGACATGACAGCTCATGGGGCTAATCTCTAGTTATCGACATGACAGCTCATGGGGCTAATCTCTAGTTATCGACATGACAGCTCATGGGGCTAATCTCTAGTTATCGACATGACAGCTCATGGGGCTAATCTCTAGTTATCGACATGACAGCTCATGGGGCTAATCTCTGGTTATCGACATGACAGCTCATGGGGCTAATCTCTAGTTATCGACATGACAGCACATGGGGCTAATCTCTAGTTATCGACATGACAGCTCATGGGGCTAATCTCTAGTTATCGACATGGCAGCTCATGGGGCTAATACTAATCTATAAATAAACTTGTCATATTGAAAAGTAAACAAACAAAACGTCAAAATTATAACCTACTGAATAATGATTTCTGCGTAAAACTTAAGGACACGTTGATAGCAAGAAGGGATGGGATATTTTAACGTTTCTTCAAAATTAGATGAATCACTGAAGCTAGTTTTAAAACTTGAATTTCGCCGGATGCTACTTAAAATTAAAATATACTAGAACTACTGTTTTGCATTATTTTATTTTTTTGATTTCGGAAAATCTGTGTAGTAGTTGTATTATCTCAAACGCTGCCGCCATCAAACATACTTATACCGCATATTGTTCATGGCTGGTATTAGTAGATGTTTTAACATCGTGTGTGTTTTAATGCCGCTTTCATGTCTGACTTTATATTTAGTATTAGTAGTACATGTAGTTGTTTACTTCAACTGTATAAACAACACGTGTTAATTATCTCTGTATTAATGAGAAATATGCTATGTTCACACGGCAGCATTCTATCGGAGCCGAACTACTGCTCCTCCCACTGATTAACAGGAGATTATCTCCAATGCGTTCATATGGTCGGGAGCTGAACGAGAGCCGAGATCTACCAGAGTTCGATTCAGTTCGATCAGAGCCAAACGAAACAGTGCTCTCAAATAATGAATATGAAAAACTGTACTGAAATCGATTTTGGTGTTGTGTTTGTGTTGTTTCTTTACATGGCACGACGCTGATGGGCTGGGAGAAAACAAGTCGCGAGTCTGAGCATGGAGGTAGAAAAGACAATGCACTAGTGTTATTATTTAGGTACATCTCAGACTAGTAATACAATTGTATTACTAGTCTGAGGGTACATGTACTAGTACCTCGAATAAACAGGAAACACGGTAGCTGAAATGTGTTGCAACCTATTATTTATTGTCATGCAAAATTACCATTTTGTAATTATTAAACTGTTAGTGATAGGGCCTCTAACCTCTCTATATATCATAGAGGGACTGTGGAAAAATCTAAACCTACTAGATCGCTTCTATGATTTTTTATCTGGTGTCTTTAAAAAGTTTCTGTTCAGTCGTTCTTTCAAGTTTCTGTTGCATAATGTCGTACGCCATTTTTCCCCGTTTCCCGTTGAGCTAACAATCTATCGCAGTGGCAGTAATTCTTTGCTCTGCCAAGTGTATATTAGGGCGCGTACCTCTTCTTCAAGCCGGAAATTGCGTGAAATTACGAAATATGTTGTCTCCGCCATAATTGAAATGATGGGTTACTTGAAGACGACGATTGAGGGCGTGATTTCGGCTCCGATAGCTGGGCCCTGATGCATTTACACGATCGGAGCCATGTCGGGACTCAACCCTATCTGAGTTCAACCCCGAGGGTTTAGTGGAGCTGAACTTGGCTCGAGCCGAACGCGTTCACGCGGCTATTTTTGCTGGCTCGAGCCGTAGGGCTCCGATAAAATGCTGTCGTGTGAACATAGCAATAAAGCAGTTCTTCTTTAGGTTTGAAACAGTCAACATCGCCTCGTTTTACTCTCTCGCACACACATACGTCGAACCTTTTCCTACATTAGAATTTTTGGTGCCGAGACCAGGATCTTGAACTGAAACAGGGAGTAACTCAAGACATCATCTATATGGCAGAAACTGACGGCCAGAAAGCAAGCAAGAAGCTTAAGGGCAACAGAGGTCAGATGACCAAACAGATTCACAAAGCCGAAGAACTCATGCAAAAAGAAGAATTCCTGACATCCAATAAAGATTTGATGACTGCAATAATACAAGATATAAGATCATTCAAGAATGTGATGACAAAATACTAGATGAAGCCGAAAACGATGAAGTATACGCCAAATTATTCGAAGAAGCAGATGACTACGGAATTAAGATTAACGAAACTTTGGTGCGTTTTCAAAGCTTTCTAGAGAGAAACACTGAACTGGTAACAGAGACACCCACATCACCCGATACGTCGATGACATCAAGAACAACAAGAACGGTCAACCTACCCAAGTTACAGTTACCAACGTTTGAAGGTAACATTCTGAAATGGACCACGTTCATAATTAGATAATAACTATAGTCTGGAAAACATCCAGAAATTCCAGTACTTGATGACACAACTAAGTGGTGAAGCAGCAAGAACTGTCGAAGGTCTGCAGTTACCCAATGCAAACTACTCAGAAGCACTAACACTCTTAGAACAAAGGTATGGTCAACCACATAGGATTATTTCTAGCTACATGAAGGCATTATGGGAGCTACATGTACAACCACCCGATAATTCTTTATCAAGTATGACCAATTTTTACGACAATCTAGAAACCTACATTCGTGGATTGCGATCTCTTGGTAAAAAGGAGGATTCCTATGGCGATCTACTTGTTTACCCAGATTTCATGCGAACATGGTAATAACGCCTGGTCGATAACAGAATTGAAGAAAGCCACACACAAAGAAATCCAAGCTAGACAAGCGGGTAAACCGATAGAACAATTCAATGAACAACACGCCACTGAAAGATATTCACCCTCTACAACATCTTTTCATGTTGGATACAAGTCAAACAGATTTTCCGATCTCAAGCCTAGACCCATCAAATGTTCATACTGCAAAGCTGCCCACTCAGCACATGCTTGTGAAATCATAATTGGACCGGATAAACGTATGGCTATAGTGATAAGAGACAGATTGTGCTTTAATTGCTTAGAACACCATAAAGTAGACGATTCTGTCATGGGAAACACTTTTCTACGCTCTGCGACAATGCTAAGAAGACACCCATGAAATCACAAACTTCCGGTATTGAAGACACACACGTCAAACTGACACCAACTACCAGTCCAGTATTATTTAAAACCCAGCCCAGCGCACGTTTATTACCCAAGATATTGCGGACAGACTTCAGATTGACACCCGGAAATGCCGAACAGAAAACCTAAATTTCGCTACATTTGGTGCTAACAAGACGACTGATCAAGCAAGACCTATTGTTCATATCACCCTACAAACAAAGCAAGGACCGGTCTCCATTGAAGCCCAGTCACTAATTACGTGAGTGTTACTGTTTCTAAATATGAGTATCTACAAAAACTACCACTCGCACCTCATGTCTAAAAGGACACTTTCAAAATAGGGCTGTTGATAGGTGCCGACTACTATTGGTCCATTGTGCAAGATAACGTGATTCGGGGTCCTGGGCCAACTGCAGTTCAGTCAAAATCTTTTTGTATCTGGACCGACCAACATACATAACAATACATCAGTTATGAACGCTACGTGTTTAAAGGATATGGTAGACAGTACTAATGACGAACTCAATTTCTCCGCGATATTGGGACTTAGAAGCCATCGGTATTTCTCACAAAGGACACTCCCGTCAGACAGATTTCGAAGAGTTCAAAGAAAATAATTTGACCCTCACCAGGGATGGAAAATATGTAGCTAGTCTACCATGAAAGGAAAATCATCCTCCCCTTCCTAAAAATTGTAATATTTGTCAAGCCCGTATGAGATCAATGGAGCGACGCCTTTCACTGGAGCTATTGCACACTTACAATGAAATCAAAGAATTCGACAACCACGCCAATACGAATAGTATACGACTGTAGTTGTACGCAATATCCTAATCCAAGCCTCAACGATTGCTTAGAAACAGGTCCTTCATTGATCAACGACTTGGTGGAAATTTTAATCCAGTTTCGTGTCAATAAGATCGCGTTCACAAGTGACATAGAGAAGGCATTTCTTAACGTACAACTGGTAAAACATGACCGCAAGTACACAAAATGTCTACGATTAAGCGATCCCATGGACACAGAAAGTGACTTTGTCGTATACCAGTTTGCGTCAGTGTTATTTGGCTCATCCAGTTCGCCATTTATTCAAAATTCGGTTGTCAAAACGCACCTGGATTCCGAAGAAACCCCTGTGGCGGACGACATCAAACAAAATATCTATGTGGACAATGTGATTAGCGGTATCAATACAGTACATGACATCCAGAAATGAAGACACAATAACTCCATGCCAGTAAGTGTGAATAACAGTATACTCTAAAAAAACTCTGGAAACATTCTACATGCTCAGATAGTTGATAGAAAACTTAAACTTGTGATATCACACACCAACTTTGTTTTAAACAAAGGACATATGCTGTTCAGCCATTAACAAACAAAGAAAGCATTTATTAACAAAGCAACAAGACAAAGGAGCCATTATCTCAACTAAACCTGATCTACAATGTAACAGTGGCAACAAATCACAAGGAGAGGAAGATCTACAATCATTCTTAAATAAGTTCAACATTACAGAGGAGAATGAAATCAAAGTCAAATTTAACAAATCCTCAGTGACCCTACAATCTGACAGTAAGCTGAAAGGAATATGGTTACAGTGCCTGAAGCTGGCAT